TGGCTTACCCTGAACTCAGAGTTCAGGCTGCTTCTGCTTTCTAAGTCTTGGGATCAAAGGTGCACACCACCACTTTCCAGCTCACAAGTGTGCTTTTAAGAGGAGCGGGGGCTTGAGCCCAGAGCCTTATGCACCCAAGGCAAGCACTCTACCCAGCTACAACCTCACCTGTCTGTCCAGCTCCTCCACTTATCTTGAGAAAGTACATGGAGACGCCATGGAACCTGCTGCTTATGCTGCACTTGGGGGCTGCGGTGGGATGACAGGTTGAAGCCAGGCCAGGCTCCACTGGGAGAGACATACATCACCACCTTTTCTTAACTCTAATGCGCATGGGTTTCAGGGACCACACGAATCCCGGTGATCCACATGACATTTCACTGTCACTCAAGGTGTCTCATCACAGGAACAAAAAAACGTGACTGACATACCAGCTAACAACAACAATGAAAGACCACAAATCAGTCAAACAAAAACATCCCTCCACACCACCGGGCACTGGATTCAGGACCTGTTGGGATACTCAAACAAAAGGATGCTCAAGTCTCTTATATAAAATGTAGTATTAACATATATAACTTATGTGTACCTGCCTGTGTGTTTTAATCAACCTTTAGATTACTTATCATGCCTAATACACTTAAATGCTAGATAAGCAATTGCGCTACTATATTGCTTAGGAAACTATGAGCAAGAAAAAATAGTTTGCACATGCACAGTACATAGTCACCGCACAGACTTAACCAAATAGTATGGCCACTGGTTGGTTGAAACCCCAGATAGAGAAGACCGACTTTATACTCTCTCTCTATACACTGAGAAACAAAAGAGCAAGTCTCAGGTACAAGGTTTGTATTCTATGTAGTGTATGGTGTTTTTGCTTATTTCCTCAACTCACTAAAAATGAGACCCATAAATTCCTAAGGTTGGAAACCAAGTGCCGCTCTCACATACTCACCACGCACATCCTGAGCTGAAGTGACAACAACGATCCTCTCATTTGCTAACCAAACATGATGGGTTCTTACAAACCTCACAGTACTTTGAGCCAAGTCCTCATCCTATGTTCTGTCCAAGCCTCTGAGAGACCCTGGTAAGGCATCTCTTCTCATCTCCAAATGTGAGCTTAAACTTGTATCTATATTCCCAGATCCTGTGAGACCAGGACAAGTGCACGCATAATTCACCTTGGTACCCAGGGATAAATGGACGCAAACTCGGGACAGTTGGAAGCCTTGAATCCAGCATGGTTCCTAATTAGTCCTTTCGAATACCTAAACTTGGAGGTGACCTCAACCATCTTCTGATCTTCTCCCAGACACTGTAATCACCCTGCATTCTCACACCTCCCTGCTCAAAAGCCACTAAGAGGCTGAGAGACTTCTAAGGATCTCAGTCCTCCACCCCATGAGTCAGGCCAGAATTAATGCGCAGCTCTGAGTTCTGTAATGCTACTTACTCTCCCTCCAGGAAGGCTCTCTGGAAACAGCTCCGTCATTCACGGCGGGAAGCAACGTGCTCCTTTTTCACCGCCTCGTGCTGTCTGGAGGTTGTAAGCCGTGCGGCCTCCGCTCTGTGTGCCGGAGGGACGGAGGGAGCGGCTTACCTGGGAACACAGAAGCGAGCCCAAGTTCCAGCCGCCGACCACGCTCCAGAACCGTACCTGCAGGTGATGCAATACTGACAGTACGAGCCCGGCTCCACGCCGTCCAATCAGCGTGTGGCATCCATCACCCACAAACAACACGTGCGACGATTGGTCCATGCGCGGTGCAGGTCGGGAGCGTCCCTGCAGAGGCAGGAGACCTTGTTCAAAGACCCAGATGGCACGGGCGAGTCCCCTCTCTCCTGGGGGTTAAGTTTTTGCCTCCAGACACAAGTAGCTTGGTTCCCAAGTCTTGGCCTTTAAAAGAGACAACCATTCTCTTCATCTTGGGTACCTGTGGTTGATATTCTTAAATACATGTCAGTATATTTAAGAGCTGGATATTTCAGAACATATAAAATTAGTTTGGATGGGGTCTCGGGTCTCTCCAGCTGGCCCTGGAACTCCAAAGCAGCCAAGGATGACCTTGAACTGAAGCTCTACCTCACAGTAGTGGAATTACAGAAATGCCCCATCATGCCTGTTTTTAGATGGTGCCGGAGGGTAAACGGGGCTTTGTGCGCCACGGCCACACACTCCGCCAAATGAGATTCCCATCTGTGATGACATCAAATTTATGCCGCAACTGAAACTAATGACAAGTGATTCCCACTATTCTTTTGGGAAAAGTGCAAGTAAACCTGGAGACTGCTTCTCATGTGGTAAATAGCAAGAGAAGGGAAGAAGGTCTGACAACAATCTGAGTTCTTATTGGTTGAACTCCATTTAGATTGCTTTCGTTTTTTGAGACAGGGTTTCTCTGTGTAGCCTTGGCTGTCCAGGACTCACTTTGTAAATGAGGCTGGCCTCGAACTCAGAGATCTGCCTGCCTCTGCCTCCCAGGGTGCTGGAATTACAGCGTGAGCCACTACATCCCGGCTTTGAATGTTATTATTATTTTTAAAAATCATTATACATCTACTTAGCACCTTCCAGATCTGGTCGGGAACAAAAGAGAACCCGGTATGTGGCACCAATCTATGAAGGAAAGTTTTGGCCTTGACAAGTTTATAGAGTTGAATAGGTGACTTACCTATTTTACTCATGAATGACAGGAAAAAAAAAAAAAAAAAAAAAAAAGATTTGGCCTAAATGAGGTAGAAAGCTTAGCAAGTTTAAGAACATTTTGATAACTGCTGAGCATTTATTCAATAGTCACTATGTTCTAGACCCTACTGTGTCAAAAATTAGATGCAGTGGCTCCCTGTCCTCTTTGCTTTCTTAACTGAATATCTTTATTGACCAGAATTATTTGTAGTGCTTTAAAGTTTGGCATTCTTTAAATTGCCCAAATGGTTCACTTCATGTCCAGTCTCTGTTGAGAGTCAGGGTTTCTGCACAAAGGGAAAGAAATCTATGGATAGTGCAGACTGGACCAGACTATTTTAAAATTGCTTTGAAAAACACAATAAGCTACTATTGGGAAGTTAGGGAACACTTTGTTTAGAAAAAAGGTAATTAAAGAACTTCCATAGCTGAGTGGTGGTGGTGCACTCCTTTAATCTGAGCAGTCAGAGGCAGAGGTAGGAAGGATGTCTGAGTTTGAAGCCAGCCAGGTCTACAGAGCCAGTTCCATGACAGACTACACAGAGAAACACTGTGTAAAACTTAAAAAACAAAAAACAGAAATCCTAGATTTGTGGCCATGTCTACTACTTGGATTCAGGAGTTTTTAATTTTTGTTTTGTTTTGTTTTGTTTTGAAGTAGCAAGTCGGGTAAAACTGGCTGGGAACATATGTCAGTGGTAGAGTGCTTGCCAAGTCTGCATAAAGCCCCAAATGGCAATCGCAAGTAATCAAAACCTAAGGCAGGAAGCAGGTCATTTTATCTCATGACAGAGAAATGGGAATGGGAAAGGCCCCTTGTCACTGCTTTGAAATGGATGCAAGGGCTTTCCTCCCACTGTTTTAGCCTGTAGAATGGAGAACCAGTGGCTGAGCATAGTTTCAGCCCAGACTTTAGTGATAGCCAGCATGTTTCCTGCCTCTGGAAACACTTGCCCTTGGATGCTAGTTGCCACGCTTTAACGCTTTAAAGAAGCCCTTGGATGGACATTGAGTCATCCAGGCATCTTAACAGAATCTCTAGCCCCAGCTAATGCACCCCAATGTCTCTGTGAAGAGCAGAGAATCCTAACCAAAAAAAAGAGTATGTGAGCCAACTTGTGGCTTTTCCTAGGACCATTTGCTCTGAAGCGATGAGGTGATTTACATCGAGAAGGCCGAACACCTTAGGTGTCTTGACACGTAGCTTTCAAACTCTAACGTCTGAAATCCTAGAAACAGAAATCTAGAGCAGCTCTTTAAGCTGCTTAATTCTTCGTAGCATATGTTATGTATCCAAATGATTTTTGTGTATGCATGGTGGTAACATGTACAATTAGTGTAGCTGCCTACAGAGGCCAAGATGACATGGGATCCCTTAGAGGGGGAGTTACCAGAGACTATAAGCTACTTGACTGGGTGCTATGAAGTGAACCTGGGCCTTCTGGGAGATTGGCAAACACTCTTAACCTCTCTATTCTCTGTAAGCTATTTTACTAGAAGCAACAACAATAACAAACCATTTGAACTGAGCATCTGTGTGACAACAGATATAGGCAGTGGAGACATAATGGTTAACAACCCAAAAAGAGATCCCAAGTTTCTTTTAAAGATTTATTTTATGAATGCTCTGTCTTCCTGTACACCTGCACACTAGAAGAGAGCACCAGATCTCATTATAGATGGCTGTGAGCCACCATGTGGTTGCTGGGAATTGAACTCAGGACCTTTGTAAGAGCAGTGTTCTTAACCACTGAGCCACCTCTCCAGCCCCTTCCCCCCAATAGATTTTATACTCAAGCAAAATATGCATCAAATAAATACTATCCTAACTCGAGATGCACATAACTCAGTAAGATACTTAGGACTAATATCCTTTTATACAGAGCTCATTTTAATAGGCCTGTCTCTTTTGAATCTTAGCTACATTTAATGAAACAGGAAACCTGTGTTCCTATCTGACTTGGGATCTGAGTCCTGACTTTTGACTATATGTAGTCCTTTAAGTAATTAGAATTTTTCATAAACTCAGATCTAATTGGACTTTTGGGACTGATAAGCCCATTTCATATGTTGTTCACTAATTAGACAAGGCTAAGGTCAAGAAAACAACTGTGTTGTCTTCCTTTTCCAGTGCTCACAGAAATCTCAGGTGTTGGTCTGAGTATCCCACATTTCAGGCAATTTGTCAGCAGAATATAAGTACAGAGCTCAAAGTTAACTTGTAACTTTTTAATAAATGAGAGAAGGTAAACAGTATTTAGAATAATCAGAAATAAATACAAACATACTGAACCATTTATTACAAAGATTTAATTTATCATCAGAATGTAAGTACAGAACTCAAAAGTTAACTTGTAAATCAGTTTAAAAAGACAAATTAGAGGTAAAGAATATTTACTATAGTCAGAAATATAT